GACCACCACTTGTAGAGTCTGTTAGTCGTTTCGAAGCAGGAGACACAAAACACCAGTCTTGCCTTCGCCGAGGTTCGAACTCTAGACCTTCTAGTTACTAGCCAGCTGCCCTTTCGAATTATACCACGAACGCATGCAATGAAGATGGTGAAAATCTCTTGTATTTTGCATGCTAATGTAATTCCTGTTTACGATTATGAGGTTGAGTTAGATTTCGTTATTTGAATATGGTAAAACACACGAGGATTAATTTTCTAAGGGAAAAGATGCCTTCAAGAAAGATGTTTTAAAAAGAATTTGGCTTGTATTCACATTACACAAGGATAAACCCAACGATAAACTAACATACAGTTATTTCACTCGCCTGGTATCGAACCCGTGCCGAACTTCCAGTACTCAACAACCTTAACCACTTGGCCTCTACTGGGGCCAAATTATTAGGAGAAAAGGTAACATATCATATATGTGAGATTTTCTTGAAGATATTGTGAAACATATGCAAGATTGAGTGTGTCTTTACAGCAAAACCAACGAAGGTTTCGAGTTATTCTGTAGTTGATGATGAATTGCTGTTTGTTCTAGTAAACAGTTCGTATATTAAAATAATTTACTAATATAATCATTGCTCAAATGATTTGAGGTGAATAGTGAAAATTATTATGTTATAGGATAACACTAAAGAGTAACATAAATTACAGAGCTTTGCCCATTCCCCCATGTTGTTAACATTTCATTCGTGTTTCTCTATTATAATATTATTACGTGCGTACGGGTTCGTAATTGATTGAATGCACAAATTCGATAATAGGTCAATAAAATTTATTCTTATCGAAAGAAATATATCAGAACGCTGGAATTTTCCTCAGAGATATTCGTACAAGAGTTTACAATATCATGCAGTATAATCAGTAGTTGTACTTTAAACTACAAAAAACAAAACAAAAAAAAAATGTTAAATCACAATACAACGCAAAGCGCATCTAAAGAAAAAGCTAACTCTGATATCTCAGTTCACGCAGAACTAAACAACTCGTAACAATAGTAACTAAGCAACTGAACTGAGACGCTCTCTCTTCGGGCTTTTATAGCTTTCAACCGGTCGCGAGATATTTCTACTACTTTCTGTTCCTAGAAATTACTGGAAAGCAATAAGGGGATGGAATTACGGTTACAAGTAAATGGTGGTCAATTACATTTATTCAGTTTCAATACAAATTGCCGGGATATCCATTTACTCAATGTTAAATGCACGTGCCCCAGTATTCTTACTTTTGCGTCATAGCTTTTTCTTACATTTTGTCTCGCACTGTATTGCACGTAGAAATACAACAATTTTAATTACAATTCTACTAAAATTAGCTATATAAATACAAAATTACGTAGAAATATATATTTAAAGATAGCTTCAGTTCTTATAAATTCAGTGCATAAGTTGTGGTCTTCTTGATAAGATGTTATATTAAGGCTTCATTTCTGCATTTTATTGATTTCAAGTGTTATTCAGTTTTTGTATTATAAATGTTTATCAACAAATGATTTGAATAACATGTGTATATATTTGCTGACAGAAAAGAATTAGCGTGATTTTCCGTAGAATTAGAATTTTTTGTAACTAAAGTTCTCTTTGTGACTAAAACTGAAATCATGTTGGAAAGAAACTTTCTCTTTATTTAATTTGTCTTCAAATATTCCACCATTGGGGGAATAGTTGAAACAGATTGTAAGTTTAAATAAACTAATACTAGTTTAACATTCCTGTACTCCGTACGACTGTACTCAGAAAGCTAGAATTCTAAAAGAGACACATAAAAAAAAATTAACTAAACTTTCATTAACATATTCTACATCTTCTGGAAATAGAACCCAAGAAGATCTAACAAACCAATTCTAACTATTCACGACTTGCAAGCAAAAGCACTATAAAATATTGAAAACACTCATCAATATGCAGATCAGATTCAATTGGCGGGGGATGATTCGCTAAATAAACTCCTTTCTTTGTGCGTTGCTAAAGCTTTCTCACTAAATTATGCATTCTTTTGAAATTTCACCTAATTTGCATTTCTGTTGAGTCTTGCGGAAGAAATAGAAGTTCCAGGAAAGAATTAACATAAAAATAGCATCTTACATTAAATAAAATTACATGGTAGTATTTATTTAATTATTTAACACTGCTGATTCAGCTCCCTCCATTTGCCCGTGCGCAAGGCACATTAGGCACAAAGAGGCAGCAAAGCGCATATGGCAGAGAATATCTTACGTAGTCTTTCAACGTATGCATCACTTTTTAGACAGAGCTAGTAGTGGCTAAACGGTAACTTCACAAGGCCAAAAGTCGGTAGTCAAGTTGAAATTGCCATTATATTGAACTTGGGAATTGCCGAAATTCAAAGCAATACCTTTTGTTAGGTTTTTAAAAGTAGGAATGTTTCTTTTTACAAACAATTTGTCATTTTTTATTTCATGAGTTTCAAAGGGAAATTAATAAGATGAACTTAATTCATATTCAGTATAAAAGCTTTTTAACATATAGAAAACCTGAATATTTTAAAATAAACAACAAATATATTTGACTTGTGAAAAAAATTTATAATTTACTAGTAAGCAAATGAAGCAACCAACAAAAAAATAACTAAATTTAATTTTTGCTTACTTATGCTAAGCTTTAATTTATGCTGTTCATTTGTTAATAAGTATCTTGCATTCTAATTGGAAAATTCTACTACATGAAGTAAAAATTGTGAGATGCAACCTTGCATTAGGGAAGGAATTGAAAATCGTTTCCTCATTTATGTTCTTTATTAAGCTACTCTTCTCTGCTGTCCAGTAACAGCTCATCAGATCGTGTTTTATAAATTAAGCCTAATTTTCTATGTTAAGAGTTTTACTTCAGATCTTTTTGTTTCCAAATTGAGGAAATCTCAAGAAATGTAAAAGAGCCCTCATAAGTATGTTTACTTATAGTACCAACATATATATATATGTATATATATATATATATATGTACAAATAGGAAATTATATATATATATATATATAATAAATGAGTATTTTGTACGTGTGTTTGTACGTGTGTTATATTTTGTATGTGTGGATGAACACCTAAAATTGAAATACGCATATATTTTCTCTCTCTCTCTCCATTGCGTCTATCGTAGTGCAATTGATAGCACGTTCGGCTGGCAATCAGAAATTCAAATCCCGATTAGGGAATTATTGATTTTTCATGTTTTTGATTTGAATAGCGTAATAGACATTGCAAATAAGCAAGAAAAAGGGAACGAAAAGAAACTGAAAGTCGAGCTGTAGAAGCTGTAGAAGAGTTTTAACGCCGAAAAGAATACTAAAAAAAGACAAGGACCTGGAACAGAGAGCTCTAATCCTTATATTTTGGATAGTATTCAAATTTTATTGATTGAGCGCATTAAAAAATTTCATCTGATTTCATTAACTCTTGTTATTACGGTACCTGTATAAAACCTTTTGAATTTTTTTGTATATTTCTGCTATGTATATAATGTATAAGATGGATTAGGTGCAAAGCAAACGCTTCCGCTTCTTTTATGGGTCAGAGACCGATCTGTGTCTCAAGAGAAGCTAAACATTTGTCGTGTTGTTCTTAATTGAGGATAACGCTAGACAATTCACGATAGAAAAAGCTCATGACGCTGTGAACTTGCTAACGGGGCAAGCCACCTGCGAGCGGTGAAATTACATGGCAAGTAGAGCGTTGACTGTGGGCAAATGATGTCTGACGGAGGATACTAGCTATCCTTGTTTCCGGATGTCCTTTTAAGGTTTCCGGTGATCTCGCCCTCAGAACCTGAGACTTGCTCCCCGCGTCTGCCATTCGGCTTTTGGAAAGGCGTGTCCCGAGCCGCCCCTTCCACTCTATTCTGGGACGCTGAGAGCAAAGGGAACTGGTGCAAATTACAACGTTACCTGTGTAGGTTACAGTAAGAAATATCGAGAACCTGTTGATTGCCCGTCAAACATTCTTTGAGGGGGCGGTTAATTTTTTTCAAAATCGACCTTCGAAAATTTTGCTTTTCTTTTTCTTCGAAAATTTTCACATTTGGGGCAAAAGTAAGAATTGAACAGGAACATCAGTAACCTTCTAATTAGAGCTTGAGGCTGAAGAACTTTTAATCTTATTTTAGCTACTGAGATATTTTGGAATATTTTTATTTTTCTCATATCTGTTTATGTAGTAAGCTATACAGTACTACCATATTAACGCTTTATATGAAACCCCGTTAGATATATTTTAAAAAACATCTGCAGCACTGAAAAATAAAACATTCGTACATTGTTATGAAATATACCTAACAATCATATATAAAGTACATCTAAAATAGATTCTGTAAATGAATAAAATCTAAAATAAGTAAATAAATAAAACTACACTTATTTTATTCTTTAAAATTTATTTCCTACTACTCTGAATTTATTTATAAAGCTTATGTTCTCTAACTATTCGTAACAACAATAAAACTCAATTTATGTGACCATAAATCATTTTTAACCAAAAATTTGGAAAATTTCCTATTTGTATGTTGTGTATATATATATATATATATGTATATATATATATAATAAATGAGTATTTTAAGTAAATGTATGTATTTAACACATTTTAATGTGTTTAAAATGTTCCCATAAATTTCGGCTGCTTATAAATAAAAATTATTTAAATATGACAGATCTAGGTTAATGTGAATTTTCTTTAGGTCTGAAACATTAGTGCTGATGGAATTCCATAGACGGTAAGAAATATTAAAAAGTTATTTCCAGAATGTTTAACTGTATACACTTCAGCCGTTGAGACAAAAACTGCTTTCTTGTGGACCCACTTAAGTTGAGTAGTGATGCAGTACCTCAGTGTGGAGAAGGTCCCTGATGCTTCTGTGACGGGGCAAGATTTCGTATTTTTGGAGCGTGGGTGGCTCTGAGAATGTTGAGGCCCTCCCCTAACTGAAGTTGGCAGGCATTAAGACTCTTCCTTTGAGCCTGTTCGAATCTCGACTGAGACACACATTCCGTCAGTAACGACTCGTCGCAGACGTGCAGTTCTCGCTTATCCTTACTAGCCAACATGTCCGAGGTTGAAGAGGTCAAGAAAACGGTCAAGAAGACCACCAAAAAGAAGACCAGAGTTCAAGTAGAAGTTGAGACCGAGGAAAGCAAGAATAATCCGGATCCTTCTCAAGGAGACAAGAATGAGGTAGCTTCATTTTTTAAACTGTTTGAAATTGTGATGAAATTGATTTTCTGTGTGGTACCATGAAAAACGGATATGGATTGATATCGCAGCAATGTGGATGAAAGGATGCTACCTGCAAAGATATGTGATTTCCGGATCTTCGTTCTGCATATTGTTGAAATTACGGGCTTTATAATATCAATTAAACGTTTCTGTGCTTTTCACGGAATAAGAAGTCATGCGAAGGGTAGCAAATGATAAAAATATTGCGCGAAATCATTTGAGATGCATTCATGCGTGATATAAGTGGAAAATGAAATTCCATCGAAATCTAAGAATCTTGGTAGAAGATAAGTAATACTTATCCTTAAAATACGTATTAACGTATTTCTAAATGCTTGAGAGTTAGTAGACTTTAACTGTTATCTATAGGATACTGCATAAGATGAATTTGTGCGTCTGGAACCTGTTGTATCAATTACAGGCACTATTCTTCCTTCTTTTCTTGACCCAATTTCTCAGTTTTTTGAGATATTCCGGAATTATGTCCTTATTTTATTTAATTCCTTTTAAACAAAATATTTTAAAACTTTTTCTGTATTTTCCAATAAAATTCCATGGAAAGTGTTTTAACATTCAGAAAGTTAACAATTCATACTAAGATTCCTTGATATTTAATATTCACATCTGGCTACTAGGTCATTCAAAATTATGTTTTTATTTTATTTTATTTACTTTAACATGTCTTAACATAAATTTAAAATCGCAGTTACATTTCACTTAATGTAGTGATGCGTGCGTAAGATTTTCGTGAATCCAGCCTTATCTAAGGAAATTAAAGTTTACGTATCGTTAGAGAAACATTAAACTTTTCGCTGTAATTGCTCTTAAAGTGCGTTAAACAAAAATTTGATTATGAATAAAACAGGATTTATAACATGGAATAAAAAGTTATCATGTGAAATAAAATTTTATGCTTTTTAATTTTTATCTGCATCTGGAGAACTGTCCGTTACAAAATAAATCTTGTCTTAATTTTCTAATGATGATTTTTAATTGTGGCATATAGTAAAAGTTAGAAATGGGCGTAAATCTATCAAAATGTCTATTTGCTATGGATTTAAATGTTGTAAAATTACAGCGTTTTCTTTTTTACTCGTATGCGTACATTAAATTGGTATGATGCATAGTATTTCATTTACTACTTTATTTTATAAATGTATTATTCGATTATGAGCAGTAAAGTATCCTTAATTTGTTTAGTTTGTACATAAAGTAAAATTATGTGCGGTGAAGCAGAAAGGTTTCAAACTGTACTTTGCGTAATCTTTACTTACCTCATTGCATTACCATTTATTATTTTTCATTATTTGCAATGTTTAGTAGCAAATTAATGCTTTTTCTCATTGAGAGCTATTTATTGCATCATTTGGTCAGTTTTGGTTCAAGAAAATATGCATTAATTGTACAAAAAAAACAGCTAGTGAACAATTAACGTTGTAATTAAAATTAACCCGTCATTAAATAACACGTTCTTTACCCTGTTCTGCTTACACTAGTAGCATCGTATTATGCTATGTAATTAATTAAGATTTTTTTTATTCAGCTTTCAGTTTGCAACGTATACAATTCTTTACACAAAATTTAAAATAATTGTAGATTTTCTTAAATATAATATTCTTAACTGCATAGGCCTTCGAAATATTAACTTTGCTTTGAAAAGTATTTATGACCATCACCGAGAAACTATATTATTTCACTGCTTTATAAATAAGTGATTTAGTATAGTGTCTTTGGAAATTTAATGTTTTATTTATTTCTTTTAGTGGTATTTCTCCTAGTAGTTTATTTCCCCTTCTTTATATTCACAATATTAACGTTGCTTTAAATTAGATTACTTTCTGAGATTTTATAATGTTTTTTAAGTTACCTTGTGTGTTAATCATTCTAATTTGCTAAAAATAAATATTCAAACTTACTTGAAACTATTACGCATTTCACTTCTTTCTTCCATGTTTCTTAGTTTAATCCTGCGAACTCTGGTAGCTTAAAATTTCAAGTACAATGTTTATTTCTGGCTCTTATTTTCATTTTAAAAACATTTTCTCCTTGCCTTTAACAAAACTATAATGAAGTGAAATCTTCATATTATTTGTATGAGATATAACTACCGTTTTCCTGCTTGCGGGTATTATAAACATAAAATTAATTAAATTTTTGGTCTTCTCAGAAAACATACTCAAACTGCTCAAAGTTCTTAACTTTATTCACAAAATTGCTGATACATTGCTTTCACAGTTTTTTGTTATGTTTGTTTAATAGTTTCCAAGACTAATCACCCTTAAAACCTCTTCTACACCGATATTTAAACTAAATCCTAATAAAAAGCTCCCATTGTTTATCAAACATTTGACAATTTTGGTGGGCTAACATTAAATTTTCGTGTCATCCTCTTCTTAATTTATTCATTTGCCCTCTGTGGCGCATAACTGGAATACGAGGCGAGCTCGTTAATCACCACCAAATAAATCGCTCACTACAAAACTTAAAACTTCCATAAAAAAAAGTATTTGCAGTATCACATTTATTCATTTCTAAGTGTTTAAATTTTAGTAAAAGTGTTGTACTAATACACCATTTATTACTAACTTTGTTTTAACAAAATAGAAACTATCTCTTGTTTATTAATTTTACCCGCTCAGTGACATACCGTTTCGAACATGAATTCTCCAGTATACATTTTCACCTGTAAAGCTGTTTTCATTGCAAGCATATGTATGCAAAGGAGAAACAGTATTTACAATCTTTATAAAGTACTGGGAGAAACTTTGGAAGAGGCGAAGGCGTAGTAACAAGTTCATTTTCACTCGCACATTATATCTAGTCTTCATATAAAATAAAAGCCTAATATTATAAGCTAAATGTGAATAAATTTCTTAGTCATGGCTGTAGAACCAAAATTTACGAAATGTATGAATTAAAATAAATCCAAACAGTAGCTGTATTAAAATAATTTAGAAAAATTTAGGATGCCCTTTTATTTGAACCAGCTTAGAATTTTAACACTTATAGGATTTCCATCCATAAACTTTTTAACATTCAAATTATCTTCTGCTTAAAAGTGTTGTGTGCACATTAATGGATCATTTAATGTTCGTTTACATTAGTTGGTTTCATTCTGGGGAAGGGAGCGAAGGTGGAAACAGGAATAAGAAGAACCCCGTGTGTGGGGGTGGCATAGAATTAAATTTATAGTTTCCATTCGTTTTACTTTTGATATGTAAACAGTAATACGAATAAACTCAAGTACCGGTTCTGTATCGAAATTCAAATAGTGTAATGAAATGCAAATAGTGTAACAGCAAATGAAATACTTTGGCTTTATCCGAAAGGCGTAAGGAAACCTTTATTGTGATTAATCTAATTCATTGAGGTTTATCAAGAAACTGAAATTTCTTCTTAAAATATTATTTAAGAATGAGCTTTGCTGAATGATACTGCAAAAAATTATTTTCATTTAATAAAACTATCTAAGAAGAAAAGAGATAGTTCCGGTGGGAATTGTTAAATCAGAAGTGGATCTGGTAATAATATTTAGAAATATTTTCAGTTCATTCAGAAACGAAGTTTTATTTCTCTGACTAAACACTTTTACACATATATATATTTTAACGGTAAAATACGTAATATAGAAGAGATCTAAAAGGATAGCATAGTAATATATTATTCATATATTTTCATCAGACTACAAGTGGGTAACACATTTCCATAATTTAAACATCTCTATAGTAGCTTTTAACAAACCAGACATCTGTATATTTCTAAACGCATCGTGGTATGATTATTTTTTAAGAAAACGTGCGCATTCTAATTATATCATTTTACTTTATATATGCGTCATTTTATTGAAAAAAAATCATACTTTTTAACACCTATCAGGGGCTAGATCTATTAAGAATAACAACTCAGATTCAACTCATACTTCTCCAATCTTGCGGGAAAGCTTTCAGGTAATCACCCTACACGTTAACTGCTTTTTGAGGAGAGAAAGGCACAAAAATCGAGTTTATTTTATCTCCCTACCTTCGAAGATTAAAATAAAATAATTTCAGAACAGAATTACTAGTCGCCTTGACTTAAATGAAGCAAGTAATCCTCAAACAGCCTTGACTGTATGAAACAAAATAAACCTTAAACTGAAATTTACAAAATAAACCTTAAACTGAAATTTTACCTTCGAAATTTACAAAGCTAAATACGTCTAAGCAAGGCTACAACTATGGATCACCAGCTATAAACTAGGTCAATTCTTACCTTACCAACCAAGTATGTCGTGAGATTCTAGTCTTACGTGACGCAGCGGCTGTTCCTTAAGTGACAAGTTGAGTATGTAGACAGCCAACATTAATTCAAATTCTCATATGGTTACGATTACTTTCACTAAATTTATAATAAACTGATTTCTGCTCCGATCTGCATCAAATTTCTGGAATAAGCGAGGCAGTGGCGAAAATGAGGCATACAGGAAATCTGAAAATTAAACTGAACGTGTTTGTAAAACTCAATTATAATGCCACAATTTTCTTCCCCCTTCCAAGCATGCCTTCGTGGTGCAATTGACAACATACTCCAACACACTCGAGTGCATTCGAGAGGTCCAAGGTTCGCGTCCCTGCGAGGGATTTGCACATTTTTTGTCTCCTGCTTCGAAATAAACTAATGTCTCTACGAGTTAAAATTTACATACAAACGAAAACTATTTCATGAAAATGAGACTATAAAAACACTAAGAATTATGATAGAGTTATTTTTCGTATATTTATGTAGCATTACATAGATGAAATGCAAAGTAGATATGAAAATTTCCTTATAGCAGATGTCAACGAAAATTGAAAAATTGAAAAAATGTATTAATTAGGAGAATATAACTCTTATTTCGTTAGCTGTCTTATCCTAAAATTATATCTTTCATCATTTAGATTATAGGTAACTATATGATTAATTTCATAATTTTCTGAACT